ACGGATATTTTTGCAGTTCCTGAAAGACGGGAAATCCTCACCGTCGAACACAACAGGGCTCACAGATCGGCCCAAGAAAATGTTAAGCAGATACTCTCCGAGTACTACTTTCCAAAGATGGCCAAGCTAGCCACCGAGATTGTAGCAAACTGCAAAACATGTGCGAAAGCCAAGTACGATAGGCACCCAAAGAAGCATGAGCTAGGCGAGACTCCGATCCCCTCTCATGTGGGAGAACTGCTACATATCGACATCTTTTCCACAGACAAGAAATACTTCCTCACTTGCATCGATAAGTTTTCGAAGTTTGCAGTTGTGCAACATGTCCACTCTAGGACAATCGAGGATCTTAAACCGGCCATACTCCAAATCATGAACTTTTTCCCTAGGGCTTGAGTAGTCTATTGCGAAAATGAACCTTCGTTAAACTCGCACACTATCTCAGCCATGCTTGACAACCATTTTGGCGTCAACATTGCAAATGCCCCACCACTTCAAAGCGTTTCAAACGGGCAAGTAGAGCGCTTTCACAGCACCCTCTTGGAGCTTGCTCGTTGCCTAAAAATCGACAAGAAGATAACCGATACTGTGGAAATTATTTTATTGGCAACCGCCAAATATAATAAATCAATTCACTCTGTCGTTGACAAACGGCCAGTCAACATCGTGCAAAAGCATCCAAACCCAAACCCAGACCCACAGACGGACGTCCAGAATAAGATCGTTAGGGCGCAAAACACGCTCGGGGCTAGGGAAAATGCCTCCCGACAATGCAGAACATTCGAAGTCGGCGAGAAAGTTTTGGTTAAGTTAAACCGAAGGCTTGGCAATAAACTCACACCACTGTGTGAGGAAAAAGCTGTTGAAGCGGACCTGGGGACCACGGTCCTCATTAAGGGGAGGGTGGTCCACAAGGACAACATTAGATAATAATTCATTTTTTCTAACGTTTACACCTAGCCACTTGGCGTAAGTTTTCTTTTCCACAAGGAACAACATTAGATAATAATTCATTTTTTCTAATGTCCACCCCTAGCCACTTGGCATAAGTTTTTTTTTCCATATTTTCTCACTCCACTCGGTATAAGTTTTTGTTATAATTGTGCTTTTTTCTTTATGCTTTGGTGGTGGGCTACAATATTTTAAACAAACACTACAATACATCCAATATAACAGGTTCGCATTCGTATCCCTGTTAGTCCTGCTTACCGTAACATCGGGGCACGTCTCGGACTACTCGCAGGCCAAATATATTCCCATCATTGATGGTAGAATTTTAGTTTGGGAAGAATTCGCGTTCGTCACACACTCGGCGAATCTCTCAGAATATAGGCGCGTGGTGGAAGAAACGGGTGGCATGATCAGCATGTTTCCCCACTCACACATGCAGAAACTTTTGAGTGTCGATGTCGCTCATCTGCGTGACCTGCTCGACTCGTTGAGCATCCACCACAGAGTAGCTAGGAGTTTGGATTTTCTAGGAGCGGCGTTAAAGGTAGTGGCAGGAACGCCAGATGCAGAGGATTTCGAAAAAATTAAATTTAATGAATTTCAGTTAATAAATGCAAACAATAGGCAGATAAACATCAATAGTAAAGTACAAGACCAAATTAATAATATTACTACCACCGTCAACCAACTTCTGAGGTTAGCCAAGGGAACCCAAGTTGACACGGGGCATCTTTATGAGATGTTATTATCCCGAAATAGAATGATTAGTATGGAGCTGCAAAACTTATTACTAGCAATAGCTCTAGCTAAGGCCAACATTGTGAGCCCTAGTATACTAGATCATGCAGACCTAGAAGATATATGGATAGAAGAGCCCACAGATACCCCCATCAAAGACTTATTGTCCGTTGCTTCCGTTAAAATACTACAGTCCGATAACCTTTTGTATTTTGTCATCAAATTTCCAATAATCAAATCGTCGTGCATTAAAATCACTGTTTTTCCCGTGTCCCATCATGACACGATGCTCAGGCTGGAGGACAAAATAATAGCTGATTGCAATGGAGCAATTCACACGGTCAACAATTGCTCCACAACACCTAGAGCCACATTTTGCCAGCTGGCGTTAAGAAGGTCGTGCGCGCAAGAGCTCCACGCTGGAGGCATAGCGCACTGTGACATCCAGCACAGCGATCTACATCCAATTACTCACGTAGATGAAGGCATCATAATTGTAAACGATCGTCCGGCACGTGTGAGTGTGGATAATGGCACTTACATCCATGTACGAGGCACGCATCTCATTACCTTTACTGAGAGTGCCATGGTTAATGAAACCCGATACGTCAACAATGACAGGGCCCAGAAGAGGGTCCCAGGAGTAGCCAGCTCGCCCTCCCTGAATATTTCTATGGAGCACAATATCCTCAGTCTTCCATACCTTCACCGCTTGAGTGAGCGTAATCTGGAACACATCAAGAGAGTCGGGGAGAATATCAACGACTATCAGTCACATCAGATAGTACTGGTGGCAGGAGCAATATGCTGCGCGTTGATCTGCGTCGGTTTCACCTATCGGCGAGTCATCCAGGCCAGGAGAGCTACGGCCCAAATAGCAGATATGATCGCCCAAATAGGGTCGGGCGAGGGCGGCCTTAATCCTGAGGGGGGAGTAGTTAACTAAGTAAGTTAACCGGGCGACGGCAATGACCGATCGTCCGAAAGCTCGCTCCGGCCAAATTGCTGACACAGCGTCTGGCCGGAAGCCCGTGCATAGCCGGCAAGCACTACCCATTGGAGTGGCCGCTATGAGTCCCTTTTTATGTTAGCTTTAAGTTCAGTTCTCATTTTGATTTGAAAGAATAAAGAGCTAACGCTCACGAATTGAAACTCCGGCCATCGCCGTATTTGATTTATTGAATTTACACCCAGTCTGAGTCTCTAGGCCAGCGGGCTAAAAGAGGGCAGTTACCCTCTCAACCTAATCGACATAATTCTACTGTTGATGACACAGGCCAACCGGCCACTTACAACACACACTGCGGCTGGTATTACCAGCTACAACTACGGTCAACCGACCTCCCGCTACAGACGTTCAGCCAGCCAGCTTCACCCCCTCTGCAGACTGACAGCCAGCCGGCACACGGATTACTTAATTACCTAATTTATATGTATATGTATGATATATGTTTGTATTTGTGGCGGAAAATTTATTTAAATTATTGCCGGCGGGTATGTGTTGAGCTTTCGATTTTTTATTTAGTGGACTGTATTGGAAGAAAAGGTGTGCAAAATATTTAGCGTAGGAGTACAGTGAAAAAAAACACTTTGAAATTGGGGCCCTTTTTCGGCAGAACACTTGGAAGTTTTTCACAGAAATTATTTTTTCACTGTTCACTTGGAATATTTTGCACACTTTACACTTTTCGTTAAATTTTGGAATTTTTGGAATATTCACTTTTTATTGAAGTTTGCAATTTTCACTTTTTATTAAAGTTTGCAATTTTTGCTCTTTGTTAAAGTTTGGCATTTTGCTCATTTGATGTATGTATACTTGTATGTACATATGTGTACGGTTTCACTTTGATGTACGGGCCAAAGAGGAATTGGAAGAATATGGCGGCACGATCAAAGAAAAACGGAAAATGGAAGAGATCTTAATAATTGCCGTTTTCGGATTAAATCGGACTTGGATTTTTAGAAAAAATCATGCAGAAAGTCAAACGAAACAGTGTTTTCGAGTGGCTGACTGCAGACCGGCAAATTAATATATGTAGATCTTCGTACTTATCTTGAGCAATTTCGGGCGCTGGGTCAATCCGGCTCGATTGGATCAAAAAATGTAGTGCTGGGGGCGTCCTATCTGAAGGCAGCAACTCCTTTGGTCAGCGACGGCTGGCGGTGTTAGCTGTGGGGGCAAGAAAAAACACTCGACGATCGCGAAAAGTAAAAACTCTAAAACTTCGATTATGGCGCGGACCGGCCGGGCGTTTATTTCATGCGTTGACGTATTTGGAACTAATTTAAGCTATTCTAAGCTAGGCGCTTGGAGGCGCAGCGGAGACTTCTCGCGCTCGGGGAGTGGAGAGCCTGGACGGCCGAGCGCGACATGCTCCAAGCTCCAGGAGAGGAAGAGTGCGGTGTGGGGAGAAGCTCCGGGAGAGGCCTGAACAATAAGATTGGCACTTTTCAGAATAATCGAAACCGAAGAAACTGAACCAATAGCAATTAGAGTCAGACAAAAGGTGGTATCTCAGACTTGCTTAACAACATTCCTTGGGGGACTAAGGGGAAATCTAAGCGGCATAGTCAGAGCTTTAAGACCGGAAGGACTTGAAGAGCCATATGATAGAGCAATTAAAGAAAGAAGTATTTATTTCACGGAAAACGCTACGCAAGTGTCGCAGAATAGACAACAAAATAGACAGACCGACCGTTTCAGGACAAATCAAAACCAATATCAGAATAGAGGGTATAACCAATACCAAGACAGGGATTATAATAGATACAACCGAAACAATAGACCCAATTATAATCAATCAAATTTCAACAACAACAATCGCACCTCTAGTTACCCAGCCATTACGGCAGGCGACGATGCACCCAGTACATCTAACGCTGCAAATAAGAGAAACTCAACCGGTAACAAATTTCAATCAAATGGACAAAGATTATTTAATTTTGAGACCAAAGAGATAGACAGGACTGAGACTCCACATAACATTGACGAAGAAGAAAATTTTCGTGCAAGAGCCTCAAATCACGAACAGGAGTCTTGAGTAAGATCCATTTAGATGCAAGTTTGACGTATATAGAACTTTCGATTTTAATAACCATAACCTAAAATTCTTGATAGATACGGGGCTGAAGGCTCACTCATTAACTCTAAAATTGTACCAGAAGATAAAAAGATCAGATTAAATAAACCAATTTCAATTTCTACCGTTCTACAAGAACACCCAATAATTCACATGACAACACTACCTATATTTAAAGATATCAATGAGCAAAGAATATTTCCCTTCTTATAATAATATAATAATTGGCCATCACAACCCTTGACGGGTCACAGCCTGTTGCACGATTTGCCTCCACGCATCCCTGTCCTGGGCGCGCCTTCTCCAGTTGGCAGCACCGGATGTAGACAGGGCTTCCATCACCTGGTCTTGCCAACGCATCCGGGGTCGTCCTCTCCTCCGTTTCCCGACAATTACCGCATCAAACACCTTACGGGCCGGAGCGTCTTCTTCCATACGGGCGATGTGACCCAGCCAGCGGAGTCTGTGAATTTTAACTCGACTGACTACATCAACATCCCCGTACAGCTCATACAGCTCGTGGTTCCATCTAATGCGATAGGCATCGCCAACGCAAATCGGACCAAAGATCTTGCGGAGAATCTTTCTCTCGAACACTCCAAGAGCGGCTGCATCGGATTGCACCACTGTCCAGCACTCCGCACCATATAAGAGTACTGGAAGAATGAGCGTCTTGTAGAGTGATATTTTTGCCTGTCGAGAGAGAGCTCTACTGTTGAAATGCCTACTGAGCCCAAAGTAACACCTGTTGGCAAGTGTGACTCTCCGCTTAATCTCTAGGCTGACATCGTTTGTGCTAGTTATAGCAGTGCCAAGGTAGATGAATTCCTTGACGGACTCAAAGCTATAGCTGTCTGCAGTCAGCTGAGAATCAAGACGCCGCGATTCTCTGCTTGAGCACACCATAAACTTTGTCTTGTCCATGTTCACTGCTAGTCCTACTTTAGCCGACTCTTTTTCAATAGCCCCAAAGGCTGCTGTAACATCACGCTTGGTTCGGCCAATGATATCAATATCATCAGCGTAACCAAGGAGTTGGACACACCTGTTTGACAGAATCGTGCCCGTCCGATGCACACCAGCCTTCCTTACAATACTCTCCATTAGAATATTGAAGAGCATGCAAGATAGCGAGTCACCTTGTCTGAGACCACACTTGGTACTAAAGGTTTCGGATTGGTCGTTTCCTACCTTGACAGAGCTGATGGTGTTGCTCAATGTCATCCTGCAAAGCCGTATCAGCTTTGCTGGTATACCAAGCTCAGACATGGCGGCATATAGGCGATCTCGCCGGGGACTATCGAATGCAGCCTTGTAATCGACGATTAGATGATGGGTGTCGATCTGGTTCTCATAGGACTTCTCCAGGATTTGGCGCAAGGTGAAAATCTGGTCAATAGTGGATTTGCCAGGCCTGAACCTGCACTGATAAGGTCCAATTAGTGCTTCGGCATGGCGTTTCAGGTTTTCACACAGTACGCTCGAAAGGACCTTGTATGCGACTGGAAGAAGACTAATGCCACGGTAATTGGTGCGCAATGTGGCATCACCCTTCTTCAGGACAGGACAGATCATGCTGAGGTTCCAATCTTCGGGCATGCTCTCCGTACGCCATATCTTGCTGATTAGTTGGTGCATGCTCCCTACCAACATATCACCAGCTGCCTTAAACAATTCAGCCGGCAGGCCATCAGCACCTGCAGATTTATTGTTTTTGAGTCGTTGGATTGCATCCTTGACTTCGGCATGGCTTGGGGTCGGTACATCTATATCAGTACCATAGATTGGGGTTTGTGGATCATAATCTTCATAGCCCGTGCCAGAGCCAGCTAACAGGCTTGAGAAGTGATCCCTCCATAGCTTCAGCACAATCTCTGCATTTGTGACTAGGTTTCCGTCATTGTCCTTGCATGCAACTCCTCCAGTCTTAAAACCTTGGGTCAGACGCTTAACCCTCTGATAGAAGTTACGAGCTTCATTTCGGCATCTGCTGCTCTCTATGCTTTCACACTCTCGCTTTTCATGTTCTCTTTTCTTGCGTCTGAAAAGGCGTTTCTCATCCCTTCTCCTTAACCTGTAGACCTCAACAACAGCCCGTGTAGCCCCAGCTTGCAGTGTTCTTCGGTAGGCGGCGTCTTTTGCAGCTTTTGCGTCCCGACACTCCTGGTCATACCATGGATTCCTTGTTGGGGGGCGCTGGAATCCAATGACTTCTTCTGCGGAAGTTCGCAGGGAGTGGGATATGAGCGCCCACTGATCGCTGATGTCTTCAGGTGTTGGAGTTGTTCGGCTCAATAGGCCAGAGACTTGAGTGGAGAATGCATCCCTTGTCTGTTGTGATTACAGCTTTCCGATGTCCAGCCTTCTCAGCAGTCCTCGACGTGCAACCTTCGCAACCCATAACCGTGTGCGAATCTTAGCTGCAACAAGATAATGGTCGGAGTCGATGTTGGGACCCCGACAGGATCGCACGTCGAGTACGCTAGATGCATGCCTTGCATCGATCACAACATGATCGATCTGATTTCTGGTCAGTCGATCGGGAGAGAGCCACGTCGCCTTATGTATGTCCAAATGACGGAACCCAGTACTACGAACTACCATATTATGCGCTGCAGCAAAGCCTATTAATCTGAGACCATTGCTCGAGGTGGTCTCATGTAGACTAAATCGCCCGACGGTGGCACCGAAGATGTCTTCTCGCCCAACCTTGGCATTAAAGTCCCCAAGGAGGATTTTAATGTCATGAGAAGGGCAGCGGCCGTAAGCTCGGTCGAGCTCCGCATAGAAAGTATCCTTGGTTATATCGTCTTTTTCTTCGGTTGGAGCGTGCGCGCATATCAGGCTGATGTTGAAGAATTTGGCAGTAATTCGGATCGTTGCAAGTCTCTCGTTTATTGTCAGAAAGTGAGAGACTCGGCGCCGCAGTCTGGTGCCAACAACGAAGCCACAGCCAAATTCATGCCTTTCTGGATGGCAGCTGTAGTAGATGTCGCAGTCCTTCTTCTTAATGCAACTTTGCCCTATCCATCGCATTTCCTGGATAGCAGCGATATCTGCCCTACATTTTTTGAGGGTATCTGCTAGTTGTTGAGCAGCACCTGGTCTGTACAGTGTTCGTACATTCCACGTGCATACTCTAAAATCATTGTCCTTTTTTCGTTTGCCATGGTCGTCAACGTTAAATCGGTCCCGTTCCGAGGCTTCTTTTGCTTCTTTTATTGAATTTTGGTTTTTCTATGGGTGGATTTCAAGTCCTACGCCACAACCTAGTTTGAAGAGCTAGGACTCTCGTCGCGCGCTTTAGTTTGCCACTCAACGGATGTTAAATGGCAATCCAGGGAGAACCACGTGGAGGTAGTGCGTCGGCTTGAGGAGATCAGTGATAAGGATCATGCTGGCATTCACCAAGTTGAATGCAGTCGGACACTTTGCCTTATATGCTCTCCCCCATCCCCCCTATTTCCCTTCTTATTGTTCGATTTTAGCCAATATTTCGAAGGCCTAATCGGGATGAATATCCTAACACAACTCCCAGCAATTATCGATATTCCACACCTAACATTTACTACACCAATGTTTAAAGTTCCCTTACTTGTGGCACCCAATCGTTCCTCTAAAGTATTTGAGATCGAAGAAGAGTCGAAAGCTCTAATCGAAGTACCAGTAAGCGTTGAAGAAGGAGCATTCTTTTGTAATCACATTCAGTTGGGAAAGGATTTCTTTATAACAGCAGGAATTTACACGGCTTGTAATAATCTTAGTCGAATAGAAAATAATAATTTCTTCACTAAGCCCAAAAAGTTTTTCTTGGATTCGAGGTTAGAGGTAAACAGATTTAATGAAGACGATTTCGTCATTACTGACGTTAGGCCTAGTGATATCGGATACAAGAACGAACACTGCAATTCAGGTTTTAACAAAATACGAACAGAACATCTAAATAATGAAGAGAAACAACAACTAACCCAACTTTGTAATAAATTCCCAAACCTAGTATTTCACGAAGGTGACCAACTTTCATTCACAAATCAAGTTAAACACAAAATTAACATCACTGATGAAAAACCCGTTTTCTGTAGACCATTTCGATTCAGTCAATTAGAATCAACCGAAATCAAAAATCAAATAGACAAACTGTTGGATCAAAATATTATTAAACATAGTCATTCACCTTGGAGTGCTCCAGTTTTCCTTGTTCCAAAAAAACCAGATGCTTCCCAAATTAAGAAATGGAGAATGGTTGTAGATTTTAGAAAACTTAATGAAAAAACAGTGAAAGATAGATATCCCATGCCAAACATCAACGATGTCCTTGACAGAATTGGAAGAGCCAAATACTTTACAGCCTTAGATCTGGCAAGCGGGTACCATCAAATCGAAATGGGACCTAGGGACACTCCAAAGACAGCCTTCACGGCACAAGGAGGACATTACGAATTTATTCGTATGCCCTTCGGTCTTACTAATGCTCCGGCAACATTCCAAAGAGTGATGGACAACGTTTTGGCCGACCTCAATGGAGAATGTTGTCTAGTTTATTTAGATGACATCATAATTTTTTCACCCTCTTTACAAGAACATATAGCTGACTTAAACTCCGTTTTTCACAGATTAAGCCAAGCTAACCTAAAAATCCAACCAGACAAATCCGAATTTCTTCACAACGAAATAGAATACTTAGGACATATTGTCACGGAAGAAGGCATTAAACCTAACCCAAAAAAAATTATTGCTATAAAGGCGTTCCCAATGCCTACTACCAGAAAGGAAATAAAATCTTTTCTAGGACTTCTGGGATACTATAGAAAATTCATTCGAGATTTTGCCAAGTTAACCAAACCTATGACACAACAGCTAAAAGGAAAAGCTCCGGTATTAATAACCGAAGAGTTCCAAAAGTCCTTCGAGAACTGTAAGACCTTACTTTGTAACGATCCTCTATTAAGATACCCTGATTTTAAAAAACCTTTCATACTGACCACTGATGCCAGTAATGTGGCAATAGGAGCAGTTTTGTCACAAGGAATATTAGGTTCCGACAGACCAGTATCATTCGCTAGTAGAACACTTAATGAACGAGAAGCAAACTACTCTACTGTTGAGAAGGAAATGTTAGCCATTATTTGGGCCACAAAATATTTTCGACCCTATTTATTCGGTCAAAAATTTCAAATAGTCACTGACCCTTAACTTGGCTGATGAACTTCAAAGAACCCAACTCTAAACTGGTTAGATGGAAACTTCAACTTTTAGAATACGATTACGAAATAATATACAAAAAAGGATCCCAAAACGTAGTCGCCGACGCTTTAAGTCGCGTTACAGTACAGACCAACTGTTTTTCCAGTTCCATATCAAACAAATTACCCATTGCAAATCAAATAAGTACGTCCGATAGACCATTAAATGAATTTAAATTACAATATATCTTCGAAGTCGGAACAGAAGACAAAGTAAAGAGTTGCATTCTATTTAAAAACAAGCTGAGACGCATTATTTCCATAGCTAAATTGGATCTAAATAACGTTACCAAAATATTAAAAGAAATTCTAACACCTAATAGGCTACACGCCATTTTTGCACCCGACACTATCTTTGAATTGATAAAAGAAGCCTATAGTAAACATTTTCAAACATACAGACTAGTCAGATGTAGAGAAGTTCTAAAAGATATAACATCTAAAGAGGAACAAGAAACAATAGTTAGGGAATATCACTTAAAGAATAACCACCGTGGAATAGAAGAGACTTTGAACCATCTAAAAAGAACTATATACTTTCCCTACATGAAACAGAAAATAACACAAATAATTAATCCATGCGACACGTGCCAAACACTTAAATATGACAGAAAATCACCAAAACCTTATTTTCAAAAAACCGAAATTCCTGGAGTACCACTACAAATAGTACACATGGATATCTATACTATAAATGGTCAAACTATCCTAACATTAATAGATAAATTCTCAAAATTTGCCAGCGCTTATACAATTCCAGCAAGGAGCTGTATAAACGTGGTAAAGTCGTTAAGACATTACTTCTGTTTTGTGGGCATTCCAACAAAACTAATATTTGACCAGGGCGCTGAATTTTCGGGAAAATTATTTATCGATTTTTGCAAACAATACGACATTGTCACTCATGTCACTTCCTTTCAGCAATCAACGAGTAATTCTCCCGTTGAAAGATTGCATTCATCCCTCACAGAAATTTATAGGATGATATAATATTTAGGAAAGAAAATAGAAGAGATAAAATAACCCCTCGTTTCTCTAAACACAGAGTCCTAAAAGACAACAAAATCAAATCAAATCGATGGTGTTGTAAATTTCGAAAGAGCAATTAATAAATTAAAAAGAAATCTGGAGTCTGACGACACAGTGGACAGTCTATCTACAAAGCTTCAACAATTAAAAAACAGAGTAGAAATGCTATTACCCAAGAAAAGACAGAAACGCGGACTAATAAACGGTCTAGGAAAGGTCATTAAGGTAGTTACAGGAAACTTCGATGACGCAGACGGACGGAGAAACAAGAATAATCTTAAAACTATTACAGAAAATCAGAAAGAAATAACACTAAAGACTAACAATCAGGAAATATTCAATAACGAGATTAAAGTCAGATTTGAAAATATTACAGATCACATTAACAAAGAAAAACAAATAATTAACCATTTCTTAAACGATTACAAAAATACTGTTTTTGGAACTATGAATTCGGAACACCAATTATTACACACTATTCAATATATATCTAGAATAAATATTAATATAGACGTATTATCAAACTATTTAAGGAACATTGAAGAAAGTCTGCTATTAGCCAAACTAAAGATCGTACCAACTTTCATTGTATCCAAACAAGAATTAGATTTAATCAGGCAAGAAATAAATGATTCAGATCTACAAAATTTGTCAGACGAACATACATATGATAGAAATGCTAGAATTAGAGACTTTTATGATTGGTATCAAGATACATTTTAGAATAAGAATACCTACATTTAAACAAAATTGTTACCAATTCACACACATTGTCCCATTACCCATTAATGAATCTAAATTTCTAATTTTACCAAATTATATGGCTTATTTTAACTCGAAAGACGTATATTATTTCACAAACAGATGTAATAGAATATACAAATACTTCATATGTGAAAACACAATTACAACCCAAGAAAACATTAACACTGAATGTTTAAATAACATATTTTCATTAAACACTAAAAATTGTAAAGTCAAAGACATTGGAAACCAAGAAATAATTACAGAAATAGAACCAGCACACATTTTAATTTTAAACACAATAAACACTACAATCGAATCTAATTGTACTACTAAGATTGTTGTGAAAGGATCTGCTTTAGTTACGTTCAAAAATTGTGAAGTATACGTCAATCAGATCCCATACGATAAAGAGTTGTCAATATTTGATGAAAAAATAGAAACCACTATTCCTATTATTCAAAACATCAATTTTACAGAAAACATTGAAGATATTAACTTAATATAAGATCCATCAACGCTACAAATTCAATTATTTACTGGAAAAAGTTTACAACTACAAATCTTGGAGCTATATATTTAATAATATTAGTTGGAATCTTAGCAACACTCCTTTTGATCAACACAAAAAAAGAGTTGTATTCGTTACTACTCCGGAGCCGAGTTTCGCGACTTCCATTCCTTCGTTATGGCCGTCACTTCAATCCAGGAGGGGAGGAGTTACCGACCAGTCGGTAGGCAACGAGCCTCCGGCTAAACCACCCAGGGTTACCCTGGAAATGGCACATTGACTAGTGACTACACACTTTGATGGAACTATGTTGCAATACATAAATTACACCCAAGTCAGTCAACGACCCACTTGACCCACTTGAGTGTTTACCAACTACATAATGCTGACATTGCAACTGGACGCCTAAGACCACTTGAGATCGTCGAACTACGAATGTTATGCTGATGGTGCAACAGGATGCCCCGACCCTCAGCCACAGAAAGACGACACGGTCAGCCACTTTATAC